TTTTTTAAAATTATTTTTATTGAAAACTTGACTCGTACAAATATCAAGGCATTGAAATCATGATAAATAAAACCATAAAACAAGGCACATTGTGCACAAATGAAATAACATGAAATTATAAATAGTAAATGAATGAATGAATTGCTTTGTGAAGTCCCATCACCACTGGAAGCATTTCCGGGTCTCTGCTCCTGTGCCGCCACAGCGCTTGCTAAATCTCGCGAGATCTCCTGGTGCTAGTGAAGAGAAGCTGCTCTCCCGGCAGTTAGCTCAGACCTGTCGTCCTGCGCAGATACACTGAAATGGCGTCGGCTCCGGGTGAGTGAAGAATTGTGTTATTCTACACGGACTTTAAAGAAATTATCTCATTCGATGTAGTTTTAAGAACTGAATTTGTTACTTTAAAGACTTAATGTGTATAATCCGTGTTTTTGAGGTTTTAAAATGGAACGTCGCGAGGCTTAGCTAGCGCCAGGCACAGGGGCCTAGTCATGTTAGCTCCTCGAGTCGTCGTGGTGTTCTCTGTCGGCTTATTTCTGCAAACAGACGTGGATTATTTTCAGATTTTTGCAAATGTACCTGTTAACCATGCATTCATGTAACGTATAGTCGGTTTCGGAGCGTCGTGTTGTTGTGGTGAGGGTCGCCGTGCTGTGGTTGTATGGCGACCTCACTACCGGGGTGTGAGTCTGGCGCGCTCACAGCGCTTTGTTTGAATGTGGTGAGCTAACAAACATGTCCTCTGTTGTTCCAGATTACAGCTCCTACAACCAGACCAGCGCCCAGCAGGGGTAAGATCACCATTCACTAGCTACACTTTACACGTATTTAAGTGAACTTTTCACGTGCATGTTGTCCTTTTCACTCCACATAATAACATAATATACATTTAAGTTACTAGGAAAAGAGTTTACAAGTTCTGAAGTTTAAGATTAAAACTTTCGTTTGTAACTTTTTGGGTGACCGATCCCATTATTTCACCAAATGGTCAAAAACTGAAAACAGATTTATGAATCTAAGCTACAGCTGGGCGACGGTGATAAGAAAGCTTCAATGTTGTATATAGACAACGAGGGCGTATAACACATTCGATCGCCCTTAAAAAACAAAAATGTTAAACAGGAAAATATCTGGATAACATTTATTGTGATGATTATTGATATGGACTGCTATGTAAAATTTGATCTCGATAAAGCGTTTGGCCATTTGTCCATATCGCCTAGCTCTAAATTCTACCATCGGGTTTGTGTGTTGACCCATACAGTGACCTATATTCCACATGACAAGGAACCACTAGCTAACTATATATAAAGTAGTTCAGTCTCTAGAAACTGTAAAATGCTTCTCTCACTTTTATGCATCACCACTACTTTATTGTAAAATACATTTATTTTTCTTCTGACACGCAAGTATATTTAGCTAACACATAACAATTATTACTCAAATAGGTTTTTGTGCACATCACTTTTAGTAGTGGTATTTTTACTCCTGAGTACTTAATTTGCTACTGCAGTTGAATTAACAGCTTTGACTTGTGTTTTTACAGGTATGCCTCTTATGCTGCGCAGCCCTCACAAACTTATGGACAGTCTGCACAGGTGAGATTCTACATGCCTAAGTAGTTGTTTGACTAGTTGGACTTAATGTGTGAAGTGGTTAAGACTGTGATATTTGTTTTAAACATAACATAGTCTCAGTTTTTGTCTTTGAGATCTTTAGTCTACCTGGCAGCTAACATATACTCATCTTTTCAGCAAAGCTATGGCCAGCAGAATTATGGATCATATGCCCAACCTGCCGCTGCTGACAGCAGCTACACCCAGACAACTCCTGCTGCTGGAGGCTACGCTCAGCAGCAGCAACAGCAGTATGGATCCTCATATGGCCAACCAGCTTCAGGTCAGTTATTAAAGCAGAGAGAAGTGGCTCTGCTTAGAACTACACAGGGTCGACTATGTTGGAAATGACAAAATCAGGTCACAAGCACATTCATGAATTCTTTATTTATTTGTAATCAAGTAAAGATGCCAGTAAAGCGCACAAGAAGTTATTAAATCAAAGTCATATCCTACTGATGTTTTCTTATTGTGAGTATGCTCTAGATACAGTCTGTATGTAGAGATTGTTGCTTAAGCATGTTGCTTAACAAGTCTGTCTGACCTGTCAAATGTGAACACTGAACTCTCTGTTGCTATCATGTTTCTCTGCTATGTGGTCAGACTGTATTAAAGATGAATTGTTGATCTTTTTTGATATTTCAGAATGCCCTCAGGTTTTGGGTTTTATCACGCCCCAGAAATCTTAAGGGTCTTTTGCTAATTGTGTTTTCCACAGCTGGCTATCCTGCTGCTCAGTCTACCACTCACAGCTACTCACAGTCCACCCAGGGTTATGGAGCAAGTGGCTATGACAGCACTCCAGCTGCTGCTGCTCCAGCTGCTTCCCAGTCTTATGGTTCTCAGCCAGGCTACACCGCCCAGTCTGCTTACCCAGGTTATGGACAGCAGGCTGCCCCCACTACACCACAGAGGTATGAACCCCCCCAATGGTGAACTAAATTACAACTGACATTCCACAAGTAAGGCCATAGCTCTTAAACAAATAATCTGTCTTGCTTTGTCTCTACCAGTTACAATGCTAATGGCCAGCCGGCTAGTTACAGCCAAAGTAGCTACACCCAGCCAGCAGGATATGGACAACAACAGCCTGGTTACCAGGCCCAGCAGACAAGCTACAGCCAGCAGCCGGGGTACCAGCAACAGACCCAGCAGCAGTCACAGGCTCCTCCTGCTTACCCACCTCAGGCCGCTGGCTCCTATGGGCAGCCTCCAGCCAGCCAGTATGGCCAACAAGGTGGACCACCGAGTTACAACCAGTCCAACCATTACAGTACGCCTTGCTTTTCACACTTGGCTAAACTGTTTTCTAATGGGCATTCATACTTTTCAGTTTAATGTCACTGTAATCATTCATTGACTTAGTTTTAAATCATTTGTGCTCTTTATTTTAGATAATTACAGACAGGATGGCCAGGGTGGCGGTTCTGGTTACTCTGGCTCTGAGTCTTCAAGGTACCCAGGTGCGGGGGAGAGCAGGGGCCCCGGGAGGGAAGGCTTTGATCGTGGTGGAATGATGCATCGTGGGCGCGGCATGGGTCGTGGCATGGGGTAAGTGTATTTCCTTTGCACCTAACCTAAAATGTATTTTAATTCTACAGGTGCTGTGGCCACTTGGGCAGGGCTGAGACAATTCTCAATGAAAACAGTTGGCATAATCAAAATAACATACATTCAATGTATGTAACTTTTTAAAATTGGAAATGCTATAATGATTTGTCAGCAGTCAGTGCTGGTAAATGATCTCTCCTATAATGTCTAAGGACTGAGAGGTGTAGTACGTGCTGACATTGACAGAAATGTAGCTGTTGTCATTCACTTTCTCTCAACCCTGCCTCTCATTTGGCCAAAGGTAAGATAAAGGTCTGTCTTTGTAAATCTATTGAATCTATAGTTGATATTTATCAGATTCCTGTGCATAAACATTTAGATTGAATAACTTATTTCCTAGAACATAATTTAATTAGGTTTTGGGTTACTGAGAAGAATCATGATTGGTCAGGAAATGTGATAGATTTTATTGTAATTTCAGAGTATCACATCAAAATTATGATGGTTTCACTAAGGAAAGTTCAAACTCAATACCGCCTAAGGTCAGTTTTTCACCGGGTTGCGTTATTCACAAACAGATTGGTTAAAAGAAGAATGAAATTAGAGGGTGCAGAAGTTCTGCAGATCTTTTTCAATTATTGTGGTGCTGAAGTCCTTAAATTTGAGTTTGTTGTGAAAAACTTAACCACACAGCATTTGGATTTTAAAGAATTTATTAATAGACCTCATACAGGGCGATGTTGCATCTTTACTCAAGTCCAATATTTGGGTCAAATAATTCCCCATTAAAAGGTTTTTCTTAACCTAAAAACATATTCACTTGTCTTATCTGGTTTGGAAGGCTATCACAGACAATACATATTTGTTCTTGGTTGACTGGCTCAAGGAGGACGCACAACAAGGAATAATGGTACCATAGAAATGGTGGAATCAGATGTGCTAATAGACTTCACTATCACAGCTACAACTACAAAGAGGCAAAGATAATGAGGAACTTGCCCGTTTTTAAGTTTCTCATTGAATTTTGTGCCTGTAACATCAACATTTGTCTTAAAAGATATAAATTCATCAATTTATACCATCTATTGTACTCTAAGAAGTTGTGGAATATCTTAAATGTGTTTTTGTGTAAAAGTTTCAATATTCAGCTAAGTGGAAACTGTAAATTTAAACATTTAGGTAAATATAAATCAAAATCAAATTTGATATAAATCACAGTTGTCTTTCTGTCACATTCCATTTCTATATTTGCCAACCATGAAGTGGCAGTGTTTTGTGGTG